AAGGCTGAGTCAACCCTGAGCCGGTGAGATTTGAACCGCTGACCTGCTGATCTAGCAGTAGCCTGCAGTGCTGCATTTAACCACTGCGCCACCTCCTCAGAGTTAGCTGAGGAAGCCTTCTGGTTCTTAGATCTAGCTTAGATTGATGTGATAACCAAACCCATCTGGATTTGCATATCATACAGTGAGGTAATAGGGCTTGTTTATAGCATGATATGCAGACCCTAACATAACATGTATAAACCATTATCCTGGATTGAAACAAATGATAGCTTGATGTAATATGCACACCTTGTCCTAGTAAGGCATTTCCTTGTATTGGAAAGAAGTAAATATATTCAGGATACATCCTCTTTGACAGAATATCACTGGAAGCTTGCTGAACAAAGTCCATGCTCAACAGCTTGTGGAAATTTAGGAACTCGCTTCTGGAAATTTCTATGTGTGAATACGAAGGATCAAAATGTGAATGCGTCACTATGCAAGGACCATCAAAAGCCAGTCGTAAACAACCCGCAGTCCTGCGAAATTCAAGATTGTCCAGCAAGGTACAAGCAATTTGTTACTTTGTTCAAATTAGAACTTACTCTTAGGCATCTGTACGTATATGTTTTGCACGGAAGGTAGGTAAGATTTCAGGTTTATTTTACTAGGAGGCTGAAGTCCTCCAACTTTAGTCCAGGGGTGGGTTGCCCCCAGCATTACTGCCGGTTTGGTACACGCAAAAGTTGCTGGCAACTGGCAGTCAGCAGAGTTAGCCTGCAGTACTGCATTCTAACCACTGCGCCACCATGGCTCTACGTACAACTATAAAGAAAATATAAGAATCTTAGCTTTCTCCTTCTGCTCTTGGTCCCCAGCAGTTGACAGAAACGTGCAGTCCAGACCTTAAAAATCATAGTTGACTTTGTCCATCTCAACTAATAACCAAGGAAAATGGAGCCTTTCTCTGTAATGCGCCCATCGTTAGCTCAACCATCCCTATAGCCCAAGTCACTCTTACTAACTCGCATCGTTCTTCTCAATATGTGCAATTCCTTTACTTTTGTGGTTAATTCCCACCCACCCCCTTCTTTTTCTTGCATTTTCCCCTTCCAGGTGGGCAACCACAGCTTGGTCTGAATGCTCTGCTTCCTGCGGCCATGGATTCCACCGCCGGCGAATAACCTGCAAGCAAGTCAAAGCCAACCGGCGTGTCTTAACTTTGCCTCCAGGCGCTTGTGCTGACCAAGAGCGTCCTCTGGAAATCAAACCTTGCGTGGGCCGTTTTTGTGCAGAATGGATGGTTCATCCCTGGGGCCAAGTAATTAATTCAATGATGAATGAATCACCTCTACCACTGGCTGTGCACCAACCCTTGTTGAGGAGCCTCAAAACTGCCTAATAACTATGCACCCCTCTCTAATTTCTATCTCTTCTACTGAGAGGTGCAGGGTTGTCTATTATCCCCACACCAAAGCGATATAGCTTGAAGAACCTTTTGATCATTTCTTCCATTGAAGAACCTTTTGATCATTTCTAACAAATTCCTATTTGTTTTTAGGAATAACACCCGACATCTCGACAGCAACTCCCAGTCGGGATAGACCAGTGATAGCTAACTTTTTCATCGCCGAGTGTCGAAAGTGTGCACATGCGCATGCACAGGGACATATGCACACCCATAATGTAATGTGTGCATTAATCCCCCATGTGCTCCGCCCCCTGTGCCTGTGACCCCCTCCCAAGCGCTCACCCACCACGCACATGAACACATGTCTCCCACATGCACCCCGCCCACCGGGCATGCACAGCAGAGACCCAAAAACTAACTGACTGGCAGGAGGAGTGCATGCGCATGCACGGTGGAGCTGAGCTGGGGTGACGGCTCGCATGGCCACACAGAGGGCTGTGCATGTGACCTGTGGCCCGTGTGCCATAGGTTTGCCATCACGGGAATAGACTATCTTGAGGGGGTTGGGCAAGTTGTATCTAAAGCCACCCCCAGTGTTCCATGGGACTAAAACTGCTGTCCATGCACCTGGTGAAAGTATCCGAAATGGCATTTCATTTCGTTTTGCATCAGAAGCTCAGTGGAGTCCATGAATATAGTATCTTGCTCAGCATTGATCTGCTCCAGGAGGGCTGAAACTGGCATTCAGGACCAGAAAATAAATCAGAAAGCAAGGTCATGTTCAGGACTAATTTAGAGAAATATACCTTAAAGCCAGAGGTGGGTTCCTACCAGTTCGCACCTATTTGGTAGAACCGATTCGTCAACCGAACCGGTTAGAAGAGGTTCCACCAGTGGACCCGGAAAGCAGGCCACACCTACAGAAGAGGCTCCAAAATTTTTTGAAACCCATCACTGACAGACACACACACACACACAAACTCACACAGAGAGAAAGAGAAAGAAAGGAAAAAAGAAAGAAAGAAAAAAGAAAGAAAAAGTGAGTGAGAGATGAAAGAAAAAAGGAAAACGGGACAGAGAGACAAAAGGAAGGAGAGTGAGAGAGGGAGAGAGAGAGAGAGAGAGAACACATGGCCGGCAAGCCACTCCAACAAAGGAGGCCACACCCACAGAGTAGGTTCGAAAATGTTTTGAAACCCACCACTGCTTAAAGCTCAGAAAGTCCATGGTATGCTAAATATCAAGTAGAAAAGAAAACAGTTCTTATTGGCTGTTCTGCTCAAGAGGGCCAGCCTAGGTAGATGGATTGAATTCAAACCCTAAGGCTCTCTGGATGAGTACCTTTACACCAGTGGTGGGTTTCAAAAAAATTTGGAACCTCTTCTGTAGGTGTGGCCTGCTTTCCGGGTCCACTGGTGGAACCTCTTCTAACCGGTTCGGTAGATTTGACGAACCGGTTCTACCGAATAGGTGTGAACTGGTAGCAATAGCAATAGCAATAGCAATAGCAGATTTTTATATACCGCTTCATAGGGCTTT